CATAGCTGAAGCTTCTGCCTGAGCTGCAGAGCCTGCTGGTGCTTGGTGTTCGTTGCTGGTGTATTAGAGCTTGAAATGTGCTGCGCTGAAAGCAGTGTGTGGTCACAGAGCTGGCTTTGTGGCTGACAGCGTAAGCCAGTGCTGTTGGGCTGGTTGTGAAACTCGAGTGGTGAATGAGAAATGCGAGAATGAAACAGAAGTTCCTTAAATTCCAATGCCTGAAAAGTTTCCTTGAAGGAAAACTTGTTTTTCAGCGTTTAATTAGCTGGGGAGCTTAGCCTTAGCTGGAAGGGTCCTGGTAACACAGCAAAGATTCAAAGTACCCCAGGCTCTTTCCATGTAGTGCTTTGTTTTTATTAAATACACACAGTGACGTGCAGAATGCAAAACCTACATTGAGCAAAGTGAGGGCAGCGAAGTTCTCTCTTCCTCATCATATCTGAAAGATAAGGCAAGAAGGAGTGGTGTGTGCAAGGCATCTTGCTGCTCTTTGGCTGCTGTCTGCAGACAGGATTAAGCCCACAGGAGCGTGCAGGGTTTGACCCTGGAGGACACACAGCTGTAACAGCAGCTCCTCGCCAGATGGGAGGATTTGCTTACCAAGGCCATCTCAGAAGGGATGGTTGTTCTGGCAGTAGCAGCAGGTGACATTCTCGTGAAGCTCTGTGCTTGGTTTGTTCTTGTGCATTGAGTGCATCTGCTGTAAGCTGGAGATGCGTTGCAGTAGGGCTGAATTTTAATTATGGTTCAGGGAGCACTGAACTTTCATCCTGGGTGAGGAAATCTGCCTGCTACGCTTTCACATAGGCCTAGCAGCTGTCTTTTGGAGGGCTGCTGTGGCCTTCCTGTGTTGCTGTGCTCTCCATCAGTTTCAGGTCAGGAAAGCTGGTGTCATTATGGCTGGGTCTCTGGAGGACCGAGCTTCCTACAAGTCTTCCTGCTGTGGCTGTAGTTTCTAGGCTTTTAGGTCTTGTCCTGTTTTATTCATTCCACCTGCAGTGCTCGTGGAGCTCCTTCCTAATACATTTTCTTTCTCTATCATAGGAAGGCTTTAATAGCAGTGAGCCCGGGGGAAAATGTGATATGGCTTGTAGTTATGGGAAACATAGAGCATTCCTTAATGTGAGTCTCTGTCTCACTTTGTGAATCCCCGTAGTGTCTGGAGGCTGTGCTGTTAACTACCTGAAAGGAAGAGCAACTTCAGCAAGTCTGAACAGAGAAGGGAGAAATGAGTGCCCATTACTGGTTGTAGTTGATCAATACCTGTGAAAATCATTTCTCTCTTCATTTGAAAGAAAAAAAAAAGGCAGCTTTGACACTGAACGCATTCTGACAGCTCCTCAGAGCTGCTTTAGTGATGAGTGACTGATGCCAGCAGTGCAAGGTACGGGGCTGCAGAGCTATCAGTGCAGTACGTGGGCACTGACCTGCCATGCAGGCACTGCCTTGATGCGTGCCAGAGTCTCACCACACTCAGCAGTGCTTTGGAGCTGGCTTATCTGTAGCATGCTTAGGAGTAGTGCTGGGTGACATTAATCCCTTACCAGTGAAGGAGCAGGTGTTCACTGTTCAGGAGTTAATCCTGCTGCCTCTGTGCACGTTTTGCATGCTGAATTTCTCCACTGAATTGCCAGCCCTTTCACTGTGTTCCTACAGAGTAGCATGGAGCAGAAATGAATGGCAGAACAAGGAAGGTCTCTGCAGGCACAGTTGAATGTAGGTACTTACATTGGTATAAATAGATGAAACCCCACTCTGCATCTAAGTAAACCTGATACAGGAAGGTAAAAACTTTGATCCCTGGTTACGTGTGCTCCTCGAGTGCCAAATGCACTTGTGTGTAGCTCTCCTCCTCCCCCCACTCTGCGGAACCCTTTGAATGCTTGTGTTTTGGCTGTGCCTGCCTGTGTCTGCAAAACAGCCACTTCCAGATCTTGACCATTGTGCCGTGCTGCCTTATCATTTGGGAGGAACCTTTTGCAGATCTCCACACCTACAAAGACAGATTGTGTTTGTCTGAGGATCTGGCTAACTTTCCCTCTCCAGCTTCATAGGAGATGGAAAAGGAGAGAGGCTGAGAAATGTTTAACTAAACAGGTTTTGCTTCTGTTCAGCAATGACCCTATTATTAGCAGCTACATCTCACTTTCTAACTTTTCTTAAAAACTGTAGCAGGAAGCCTTGCTTAAATCACAGGAGCTGATTCCTAGGCCAGAAATGTAGGTTTCTGTGTTTTTGTTTTTGTTTTTTTTTTCTTTCTCTGTGCACAAGTCATTGACTTTCCTCTAGGTTTGCTGGAGTCTGGAAAAAAGCCAACAGCTCAGGGCAGCAGCTGTGCTTGAGATGCCTCTTCAGATGTCCACTCAAATAACCCATTTCCATTAAAATGCTCAAGCACTGTCAGAAGCCTGCGTGCAGGCTGGCAGTTTCCTGGGCTCGGTAGCATGTTGCAGTACCTGTCATGGTGAGATCCTTCTGGCAGCTCAAGGGGTGCTGGGTGCGGGCTGGCCTCACTGCTTTGATTCTAGAAATGTAGCAGTAGGCTAAACGTGGGTTCTGGGCTTTGAGGTTGGCTTTGAGCTAACAGGGCACTTCTGAAGTAAGTAAGGCAGAGGAGGGAGGCCTTGTTTTCATTGAGGTAAGGGTGATGCCTCTGTGATGGTAACTAAGTGTTGGCCTGGGTGAGTTGGGCTTGGGATGTAGGGGCAGTTTCTGAATTCCTTTCCCTGTTGTCAGCACAAGGCATTTGGTTAGCTTTGTCTGATGTCACATTAGCCCATCTGTAAGTGCCTTTAAAAATGAATTGTCAGCTCTAAAGCCTTGCAGCCATAATGCAAAGTACTGAAGATGGGCACTGATGTAGGTCAGGGGCTTGTTGTGGGGCAGCAGTGCAGATGCTGGTGGACACAATGTGCCCTTGTTTCTGCAGTGTCAAAGCTCTCACTTGCAAGGTGTGCTTTCTTCATGGCTGGTGAAAGTCTAACTGCCACGGCTGCCATGCCTAAACTGAGCTCTGACCTCAGCACACAGCCAGTTTGCTCCTTTGTGAAGCAGTGCCTCCTCTTCTCCACCCTCATAGGTGTAAGTAAGCATTAATGTGTTGCACTGAGACCAGCAGCTTGTGCCTGAATGAATGAGGAGCAGAGAACAGCTACCTGAGATGCCTTCCTTCAGTGGCTGCAGTCAGTGATCTTAAGTCCTGCCACATGACCACTGACGTGTATTGATCCAAAGTAGCTGAAATTGAGAGAAATACCTGAGGGTGGGAGGAAAAAAATAAAAAGTACCCAGAAAGAATACTGTCTTCTAGTGAATCCTGGTGAAGTGATGAGTCTGAAACTAAAATTGAAGGCAAGTCTATTTTTATTTTAAAGGTGTGAAATTCCATCCCACCTGGTGGCTTAGTAGTTGAAATGGTGTTGCACGTTGATGGTGACAATTCATTAACAGGCATCCCTATGCTACTTGCCATATTGCACTTAACCACAAGCTATATTTGAATGGTGGGGCAGAAGGCAGAACAAGCGTTTTGGCAGGCTTTTTATTTTCTTGCTGTCACAATCAGTCCTCCCACGCTTTCCTCTGCTCTTACGAAAGTAGAAAGTCTCAGTTCCTGACCTGACCCCATCTCTAATTCTCTGCTTGCTCCTATCACCTGCCTCCAGCCCGTTTTATAACTGGCATATAAATCCCAGCTCATCATAAAGGATGGTAGCACAGTCTGGCTGCCTCTTATTTCATCTCTGCTCTGAGATGTACTTCTCATTACAGGAGGCTTTCTGAATAGAAGATGAGTTTAGTCACACTGGGGAAAATTGCTAGACGTCGTCATGTTTAAACATCTCTGGTCAAAGGCATTGCATGAGCAAGATAGAAAATTAATAAGTGCTTTCTCAAATGAGAGCCTTTTGTGATTTAACACCAGTTTGAGTTTTGGTAGCTGAGGGTTGGATGAGATTGCTTAATGGAGAGAAAAAATTGGTCTCACCAATAACATTGGTTTGGCTGAGATGTTAGTTAAAAATAGCACTTCTGTAACAGCCATTGCTTCACCATGTAATGTCTGTTATGAATGTTGTGCAGCTGCCATGGGGCTCCTTGGTGAATCTACTTTTCAGCCAGTGATTACTTGCTCATCTCCCCTTTTCCTCTTTTCTCCTAAGAACAACTTTGTGTTTGGGCTACTTAATGTTCCCACAAGTAGTAAGAAGTGCTCTCAGCAATTGCTTTGTCACTTGAAATGGAAGCATCTTTGTTCAAGTCATTATTTAGGAACCAAGGTTGCTTGAAATTCTTTCTGATGGTAAAACTGGTCCCTCTGGATAGCTTGCTGTGCTGTTACAGGGGAGTTTGTAGTCTACTGCTGACTGTTTAAAAGGCAAGCACAAATCAGTATTCTTTCTCTGAATTTACATCTGAAACCCACAGCATTTGTAGTCACCACGAGATTTTGCTCCAGTGTTTCTCAGTTGTTTCTAGAAAATACAGAAGCAGAGATAGGTCTGTATAGCTTTGATTGTTTGGTGCCTGGATAAGTACTCAATGGCACAGTCAAATTTAGGGCAGAGGCGTTAAGAAGTAGTGGAGCAGGAAGGGAGGCAGATACGTTGCAGGAAGCATCCGTAAGCTGCCGGCTCTGTGCCTGGCATCTGGGCAGGAGCTGACCTTGACGAGTGTATGATTGCTTTTCAACTTCACACAGCCCAGAGGCAAGCTAAAAGTGTAAATTGTCAGCGTTGTGTCTAAAAGGATGATGAGTATCTTACATGGGAGTGAGGAGCCGTATGGAGAAGAATGGTTTCTAAATGGTTCAGCTCATAAGTAATCAGACGTACTTGTTCGGTTGAACAAGAACAAGGAGATGGCACTTACTCTATTAGTTATATTGAAACTGCAGATGCCAGCAAGGAGCTTAACACTTTGTTCTTTGGCTCTTGAACTGGAGCCTCTTTGACTGGAATACAACTCCGGTGAACGTGGGTTCTGTTTCTCTTTTGCAGGTGCAGGAAGCATCGTTGCCATCATGATTGGCAACCTGAAAGGCATGGAGATCCTGCGCCGGATTGAGAGTGGCCTGAAAGTGACCATGGTTATTGAAGTGGGGAAAAAGCATGGTCCCTGGATGAACCACTATTCTATCTTCTTTGTCTCAGTGTCGTTTTTCATCGTCACAGCAGCAACTGTGGGCTACTTCATTTTTTATTCTGCTCGCAGATTCAGGATCACAAGGGCCCAGTCCAGGAAGCAGGTGAGTTGGTGTTGTCACTTATTGTCCCCTCAGCCAGCATGCTGAGGATCATGAAGCTGAAATAGTGCTTGAGCACCAAGATGACTAAATTTCTCTCCAAAGGAAGGAGAGTGTGAGCTAAGGGAGGTATTTTTAAACAGCTAAAAACTTTCCAAAGAAATGACAAAGTCACCTGTCTGGTTGTGTCTTGAGAGTGTAGCTGGTCGTGCTTAGCCAACTTTCTCCTACAGCTCTTACTTCCTGAACAGCAGTGCAGCAATAATACTGATGTAGTGGGGGAAGTGAGAGAGCTGAACTGCTTTTAGCTGACCCTCACACTTCCCACATAGCACTGCCTGTGTGCTAGCTGTAATGTAGTGTAAGACAGACTACTGACGTGTCTCCAGAATGGTGCACGACTTCTGCCACCTCAGTATAGACCACAGGCTAGGAAACTGCATCTTATCTAACCGAAAGCTATCTCAGAGTTGCAGTGACAGCCTCAATTAGGTGCTGAATAAAAGCCACTGTTGTGTTCTTTTTAAACCCCAGGCAGGCCATTGTTAACGAGTTAAATTTCTAAGTAACTCCCTTTTGTGCAATTGTCCGATCAGCTGATATAACTAATGCATACAGTTCTGCCTTCAGTCCCAACTTGTTCCTGCTCCTTCAGGAAAAGCTTTAAAGGTGAGATTTATGTCCTAGTATGATTCTTGTCAAAGAGGATGGGCAGCAGCAGGAACAAACTCTGAGTTGCTCATATACAAGTACTGTTGTTGTTGCAAAGGAGACCTGTGGTATATGCAGTGCTGCTTCTTGCAGGAGTTTCCTGAATTGTGAAAGAAGAGTTGTTACTGTGACCTCTAACTCTAGCTTGCTTGGGGAATTACCTTGAGATCAGTAGCTAGATAGAAAAGTGGCATTCCTCCATGGAAGGAGACATGCCCTGTTGAGCTTCAGTGCTATCTTGGGGATTTTGGGCCCCCTGAACAGATCATTCTGAAAACACCTTGAGGCTAAAAGGTGGAAACAGGTATTGAGATTTAGGCCAGTTTTGGGCTTCTGTACCGTTTTAGGACTGACGGCTCTGAAATGCTAACTTGTATAACCATTGTTCTTTGCTGTCCTTCACCTCAGTCTCTCTCCCTGCTGTGGTTGCAGGGAATGTGGCTGCTGTTAAATGCTGAGTTCTTTCTGGTAACCGTAGCACCTAACTCAGCTTGAGGTCAATATTCTTCTGAAAGCCTGTTGTTTAAATGTAGTCTTATGGATGATGAACAGACCTCATTTTAGCCTCTTTGTGTTCTGATATGCCACACCTGGAAGTAATATGGAAATAAAAAGGAGTAATTAAAAGAGCAGGACTAGAAGTTCACAGCTGTCTGTGAAATGCAGCATTGCCACTCCTGGATGTCACACTGAATTGCCTTTCTGGTGTCTTTTGTGAGGGATGGCACAGAGCCCTGTATCTTGATGCTGTCCTCTGCCTAACATCTGTGGACAGAGGTATGCTGTCTCTTATTGAATTTCTTCTTTCACTGCAAACTACCCCACTGAGAGAACTTGATTCCAATCACAAACAGGCAGGGGTGCCCTAGAAACTGATCTGCAAAAGACGCTGTTAATCAAATCACAAGAAAATCTTCCATCCTTTGAAGGCATTTAACAGAGCAGTTGTGGAAGTCCAGCTCTGTTCTGAGCTTTCAGACTTTCAAAGAGCTATGGCTGTTATTAATGCTTCAGTGGTAGACAGTACTGGGCAAATCCAGTTGGTTTGGCCTGCTCCTTCTCTAACTGTTTCTATCTTGGGCTCTGTGTACACACAGCACAATTTACTCTAGATTGAAAAATAACACTGACAAATGACATGCCAGTTCCACATGATTTCAGCTGATCTGAAATTAAGGAGCCATGAAGTGTTTTATGAAGTACCAGAATCAAAGAAACATTCTCTGGCATAGTGGAATAAATGTACTACTCTGTAAAAGTGAAACTCAAGACAATCCAGAATTGTTTTGTAGGTGTTTTTTTTTCAATTGTTTCTGTACCAAAGCATCTAAAAACTAAGCTTACAAGGATAAGATAAGGAAAGAATAGCAAAGAAGTTCTTGCTAGTGAAGAGGAACTTGTAAAATGTGACTCCACAGTGTTCTCTGTTAACAAGCTTACTGGATTTTTAGAATATATTCTAAGTCTCAAAATAGGGACTTTGAAACATTGAATATTAGTCAATCAACTTATCAGATTGCATGCTGCCTGTGGAACTTTGCTGTCATTCAGCCCTTTGGAAGGTCTGACTCTCTGGACTTTAGTCTGTTATTTGGTGGAGTAAAGGGTTTTTTTCCTCTTCTGTTGTACAGATGTCAATGGGTTATATATTCTTTTGGGAAGTGTTCTTAGGGAACAGTTGTATTTTGGTAGTAATTGCTACAGACTTTCCCTTCTGTAGAAGTAAACTGTCTTCTGAATGTTTCCCTCTACCTGTGTTACAATTTTTTCTGACATCTGTCTCATTTTTTGACCTTCCTGGTGACATCATGTTCTACCCCTAGAACCAAGAGGGATTCTTTGATTACTCTACAGGGTACTGTGATAATTGTGACATGATGATAATGCTCTGTGGTCTATCCCTAGTATCCTCAAATTCTTTACATCCTGCTTGTATCCCTCTTGTTTGCTTGCACTGGATGGCTTTGAAGTCTTTACCATCTCAGCAGTAGTTTTTTTCTTTTCTTCAGTTTGTCTTGAAGAGTCTTCAGACTCCAGTGCTTTCAGAAGCCATCACTTGTTTTATAGACAGTGAGGCTGTTGGGTGCATTAAAGCTTCACCACTCACCAGTAGAGTTTCTGTGTTTCTTGCTATGACAACCTGCTTTTTCTGGAGAAGGAACTTTTACAGTTGGTTTGGTCACATATAACCCAGGGCTTATTTCTGCTGCAGATGTTTTTTGAAGGCAGCAACTCTGTCTCTCACTCAGTTTGAGCAGGAACTGTATACAGGAAAACTAATTTTCTATAAAGTTGAGTGACTACTGAGATGAGCCACTCGTATTGTCTTAAAGTCCAAGTGAAAGCAAGTTTAATAACATATCTGTTATTAAAAATTATTAAGAAGACATCTGTCTTAATTGTGAGCTGAAATGGATCAGCATTTTCTCATGTTAAGCTGTTTACAACTGGCTGTTTTTTGTCTGACTCCATTTTCTCCTGAACTTGAAAGTCAAGTGGCAACCTCTGTGGTCTGTTACTGCATTGAGGTCTGTGAGCACAAAGGTGGTAAAACAAGGAAAGGGCAGCATGGAAGTTTGTTTGGTACCAACAAAGTAGTGACAAATTCTGTTCCTCAGTATATTAACCTTTCTTAATAATGCAGAATGACTGAGTGTGTTAGTCTGTGGCCTGGTTTCTTATTTGAGCTCAAGTTTTCATTTCCATTGATTTCATAAGGATTAGGTGTTGCAGCTTAGAACTGACCTAATTAATGGTCTTGGAGAAGGTAAGTTGCCTGACTTGCCAGAATTCCTAACTACATTCATGGCAGTAGCTATCTGTAGGGAAGAACTTCCTTTTCTTGCAAGAGAAAAGTGGAAGTTCCTTACCTCCTTAGAGCTTACTCATCTGTACTGTCACTGCTGTCCTTGCAAGGGTGCAGAAGGGGCTGGTGATTAAATCCCCTGGGAGGGACTGGGGAAAACTGGGGAATAAACAGCACATTTACCTTTCCCAGTCAGGTGCCTGTCTACTTCAGCATGCCAGAGCCTGGGTGGCAGCCAGAACCTGACCCGTCCTGTAATATCTTGATTCTTTCTTCTTTTTCTTTTCTAAGTCTAGTCAGCTTCTGCTCACCCTCCATTCCCCAAGGGCTGCGGGGTTGTTGAAACTTTTAAAGTCATTAACATTTAGTATTTGCTCCAAAAATTTGGCTTCACAAAATGCTTTGACATTCCAGACTTGAGTATCTTGGATCTCTGGTAGCCTACTCAATAAATGCTTCCTCTTGCAACCTTTCTCCATCCCCCTGGAGTTGTGCTCTGCTGTACTTACATAATCAATGTTAAAGGTGACTTTGCCGTTGGTGCATTTCAAGAACAGCCATTAAACTTGTGCTCTGGCAAAACTTAAAATATTGCCTCAGTAAATTATTAATCATGCAGCCAGTTGAGTACATTTAAACTTTGCTGTTTGCCAACAGTTGCTGCAGCCAGTTGGGTCCTGTCAATATGCTTGCCCTGACATTAGATGTGTAGATTAGATACTACACAAGGGAGTACGCTCCTAGATGGTTTAATTCTCCGTTTATAACAAGTAGCTGTAGCGCAGGACCTGATATTGTTGCATTCCTAGTCTGTGTTTGTTAGTGAAACTTCAGGGATTTTCAGACAGCTGTGTGGCTGCTGCTTTACAACTTCTGGTTGAAGCATTGACAAAGGGAGAATGATTTTGAAGTGTCATACAGGAGCTTATGCTGGTGTCTTCAGCAGAAGAACTCTAAAAGCTTTTTTGAAGAAAACTTCACTGGTTCTTGTTCCTAATAAATAAAATACACCTGCTTGCATTTTTCACCTTAGGATGGTATGGATCTCTTCCTTGATCACTGTTATAGCCGTTAAGCTTCTAAAAGCATGAATATTGATGCTATAGGCTAGAAGCCCAAAGCAACGCTATGTATCAGCGAACTTGGCTGTACCAAAACAGCATGATAGCAGCAGACTGTGTAAATCAACTTGTTTGGTGAACTACTTCACCACAGGGAATTTTATGTAGTATTGAGTTATTGGTTTGCTCAATTTATTAGGTGTCATGAGTAGCCCCTTCACCAGCTTGTCTTTTCTGTGCTTCTGCCACTAGTCCTGCACTTTCAGCCTAAAAAGATTCTTATATCTGAAGTAAAACGTATAAGGGGGAGCAATGCTGGAAAGATAACAGCGTGGTGTTCTGCACTGAGCAGCTGAGTCTGGAAGAGGATTTTGGGTTGGGACAGCAGTGCCAGAGCTGCCTGATGCACCACTGTGTCCAGAGGCAGTAAGTGCACCAGAGAGGACAGTCAGGTGGTGGTGGTGGTGCTAGAGCAGCACCAACCTGTGACCTTTAAACAGGGTTGTTGGCTCCCATGCTAATTAAATGCATTGCACTGACAGCTGGACAGCAACAGTTGCCAGGCAAGCTAGGCTTCTGCTCCTGCTCATCTCTGCCCTGGTATCCTGACAGCAGCAAGCAAATGGCATGGAGGGGAATGCAATTCAGCTTCCTCCTCTGCCCTCATTAAAGCTGCTTTGCAAACCTCTTGGGGCTGCTCATTTGATTTGTTTAGTAAGGGATAGAAATAAGGAAAGCTCTGAATTGCGTGTGTGTGTTACTTTGAACCCACACTGATAAAACTGCGTTCTTCCACCTGACAGGAGTGGTCGGTGCCAGGAGGCTGCTGGCTCTGTAAGATGTGGGAAAGAGGGCTGGTTCAGGGCGTGTTGTGGTGGCTTAGTGCTGGGTAGGGAAACTCACCTTTCCTTCATCGAGGTGTGAGGCTATGCAGGATTGGTTGTGGGACTTGGTGTTCAGCCTTCTATACCCATTTGCAGGTTTCTGTTTATTTTGGTTAGGTCTAATCTGATCAAGGTATTATCTTATGATTTCTAGAAGGAGAAACCGTGCTTTATGAGAGGGCTAGGTAAAAACAAATCATATGCCAGTGTTTTCTTGGTGTGTCATCTGGAGTCAATAGCCGCATGAATATGTCCTGAAACTTGTTTTGTGTTTTGCCTAAATAGCGTGGTCATGCTTACTTAGCTTGTTTTGATAACATCTGGGTTATAAAACTGGTGCCTGCTTGCTTAGCACATTAAGGTAAGTATTAGGAGCTACCACTTATGAGAAAAATAGTGTCTAACCAGGGCTCCTTTCTGTTACAGCGACAACTGAAGGCTGAAGCTAAGAAGGCCATTGGACAGTTACAGCTGCGCACCCTGAAGCAAGGAGACAAGGTATAGCCAACTCCTCAGCATTCTGCCACTGCCTCACATGGAGCCTAGAGTAGGTCTTTCCTATTGGGATAGGATGCAAAGCCTCTGGGAACCCACAACTGCCTTTTCCTCTTTCTGACCAAATTATTTTCAGGCGCACAAGTCTTTGAAATCTGCACTTATGTACAAATCATATGTATGTGTTTTTGCATCTTAACCATAGTCTTGCTGTGTTGAGAAGTCCTAATTTTCTGACATGGAAAAAGCCAGAAAATGCTTTACTTGAAAAGCAAAATCATCATCAGTGGCTCTTCTTCTGGCTGACACTGGAGGTAGTGCTTTCCAAATCTCTGCAGTATTGACTGAAATAATATGGTGATCACAGAATCCCAGAATCACAGGGGTTGGAAGGGACCGGGGGTGATCTAGAGACCAGCGAGTCCAAATCCCTGCTAAAGGGGGTTCCCTACAGCAGGTTGCACAGGTTGGCATCCAGATGGGTCTTGACTATCTCCAAAGAAGGGGACTCCACAGCATCTCTGGGCAGCCTGTTCCAGTGCTGTCACCCTACCCTCACTGTAAAGAAGTTCTGCGTATTTGTGTGGAACTTCCTATGTTCTAGCTCTTGGCCATTGCTCCTCATCCTACCACTACACACCACTGAAAGAAAACCTGGCCTCATCCAGTTGCCTGTCATTCTTTAGATGTTTATGAGCATTGCTCAGATCCCCTTTCAGTCTTCTCCAGATTGAACAGTCCCAGGTGTCTGTCTTGTACAGGATGTGCTCCAGGCCCTTCACCATCTTTGTCACCTCCACTGGACTTTTACTGGGGGATCCCTGTTGTTCTTGAAATGGGGAGCCCAGAACTGGATTCCTGATAGTTCACAGCTGTTTCTAAACCATGGGATTAAGCTTTCAATGCTTTTGCTCAAATGTCAGCTTTACTATAAATAATCCATAAAATGTGTTTATTTAAGATTATGGATAAGAGTTATTTTATATTACTTTAGCTAGACCCCTTTATCTACAGTAAATCTGACAGTAGTTCAGAGGAAGCTTTCAAAGCTTATTAAAGCTGAAAATCCATTTCTCCACTTTAGGAAACTGGTCCTGATGGAGACAGCTGTGCCGTGTGCATTGAGCTGTACAAGCCAAATGAAGTAGTGCGCATCTTGACTTGCAAGTAAGTTGTCTTCCAAACTGCCCCTTAATTCAAAATGATAAAGCTTGCCTTTACTGGATGTTCTCCTGCTGTGTTAACAAAGCTGATCAAGCTTCTATCAAATTACTGTAGAGCAAGAGTTCTTGAGTCTCTGTCAAATGGTGTTTCAAACTGTAGATGTACTCTGGTAGTGTGCCCCTACAGCTTGTGTCTGTACCTCTCTCAACCTGAACATCTTGGCTGACTACAGAGCCACTCCAGTTTATTCTTCTAGAATTCTCTACTATTGCATCTCATTGTGCTCCTATGGATGTCAAATATGCCACTAATATTTTGATTGTTCCCAAGATAAACTCTGAAATAGCTTCATTGCTTAAGGGAACTTGTTCTGTGTGACTTTGTGTGCCTGCTGAATGAGATTGCTGTGGCAAATCTTCTCAAATCAGGCGGCTACAAGAGTGATCAAGTTAAATGTCGTGTGAACTTAATTTTATATGGGAAGACTGCTTTTACGTGGGGAGTAAAAAGTGCTTGGAAAAATTCTGACCTGGGGAAAAAATCTAATTCTGAAGAATGGGAAAATCTGTGGTTGTTTTCTGAGCAGTGTCACCTGTCAAACGCTATTAAATCTGAGCTGGCATTACCTTTGCACAAGGTTATAGTTTAGCAAAAGCCCTGTGTGTAGGAGCGGTACGATGTCCCAGCAGGCTGGATACCAAGAGGCTGGCCTTGTAAAGTGCTATCTGCAAACTTCCTTCATCTAGTGCTTAGCAGTTTAGAATGAAACAAAACCGAATAAGCTTTCAGGAATGTGTTGATGATTATTCAGTGGTCGTATCAGGCTTGTGCTAGTGGTAGTCCTGTACATTAACTAAATTCCATGAGTGCAGAGACATTTAGACTGGCTAGATATGTAGAGCTGATAGAAGAGCTGACTTCTCATGTTAATTCCCTATGAAGATTTCTAATCTTGCTAAGAGCTTGCAAAGCACAGCGTGACTTACTGGGTTCAGATGAAAGTGATTTTTTTTTTTTTTAGGTATTTATATGTGAATTTGCTGTACTGTATTTTGCTCTGAGGCTGCTTTTCAGTATTTGAGATGTCTTTGGCCCAAACATGGCTGTGATAGGGACTTGCTTAAGATAACCATATTTGTTTGATAATCCCTGCCAATGGTGATCTCTGCTAATACCAACTATATTAAACTCTCACATGAGTTATAAACTGTTATGTACCGCAAGAATGTAGTTGATGTTGGTGGCCAGCCTCTGTGTAGAGACCCTGCATGTTGAAAGCACTTAACTGCATGCCAAAAAGAAACAAGCAACTGAATGCTTCTGTGAGTCACAATAGTGGTATCTAAATATCTGGGGCGTATGTGTTTGTAGAAGGCATTCTTGTCCAAACAGTCAAACTGCAAGCATTTATAGTAGCGGAGATACACCAGACATGAGTACAAGTTCTCACAATCACTATGCATTAAGGAAGTTTCAGGTTTTACTACAGATGTTACATTGGTGCAACTGGAAGGAGGTGCTGATTACGTGTGCTTAATTGGAGAATTCATTATTAAGCTTGGGTGTAGAACACCAAGTGTGGTGAACTCTTCGCTTGTCTCATAACAGAGTGCTGATTAACGTTGAACAGAGCTTTGCCATTTCTATTCAGGTAGAAGGAACAGGCAGGTTACAGGGTTGCAAGCTGTCTTCCTAAATTTGTCCTCTAGATCAAACCCATTGTGGGTTTGAGTACCGGTGTAGAAGCACACATTTCCACTTGTAATGGCTGAACTATGTTTAATTGCTTGTGTATGCAGTCTGCCAAATGTCCACTTGAAATACACAGTGACTGCGTAGGCAAAGTAAATGTGTGGGAGTATAGTTTATCTGGAGAACATAACTTGGCAGGATTTTTTTTATGTGGGTTTAACAGAAATTAGTGCTATTTATGTCTGTGTCGTCATGACAAAAGTTGAGCTTTAGGCTAAGGTTGAGGTGTCAATATCTGTATTATTGAAATTATAATCTGGAAGTACATAGCATGGTGATTTAAAAACAAACAAAAAAACCAACAGAAGTCCTACAACAAAACCATTAACGCTGATGTAGCATAGATAATGCTGACGTTTTTACAAGTTGTGCAGAGAAACAAGGAAAAGGTTGAGACCATGCAACTAGCTTTAACTTTCAACAGCAATGTGTGGCAAAATAAGGCAATTCTAGAATCAGTGAATTCTGTGTTAGTAGATAAAGCTAGCTGCTGCTAACAAACGTCTTTCCTTATGTGAAACCTGACTTGTTGGTTACTTCCTCCACTAGCCATCTTTTCCACAAGAACTGTATTGATCCTTGGCTTTTAGAACACAGGACGTGCCCAATGTGCAAATGTGACATACTCAAAGTTCTAGGCGTTGAGGTAAGTCACAGCCTTACCTAGTGGCAGAGTTCCTATCAGTACTGGGATATATAAGGAACTGATGCATTCTGTCACTGCTCTCTGTGTCAAACACCAGAGGAAGGTACTGTTGCCAGTGCCTGAGCAACTAAAATATATGCCAGTTTGCCTGGGGGATGGAGGTGTGCACCGAGTGGGAGGAAAATTTCCCTTTTCCTAGTACTGGGTAATAAAAAGGAAGAGCTGGTTAAAGAATACAAAAGCTGTATCTGAACTTCCCACTCTAAATAGGCAGTAGCTGGTTTTCACTTGTGATGCTGGAGGTTAACAGCAGAATTCTATTTTTCTATTTTAAATCTCTTTTTCTGGGTAGTCCCTCAAAGCATTGCTCTCCTTGAAAGATGCATCCCCCTAAATCTCTAACTTTACCATTTCTCTTTTCCACAAAGGTGGACGCAGAAGATGGGGCAGAGTCTGTGCAAGCTACAGTATCCAGTGGGACATCAAATGTCACTTCAATTAATGAAGTGGATAGCCACAGTGAAACTGCATCATCTGGATATGCTTCTGTGCAAGGAGCAGATGAATCGGTTCTGGAGGAACAGGCAGCATCAGAAAGTAAGTATATTGCTTCACTCGTCTTGCTGGATTGCATTGGCCTTCCGTTGCTTGTGCTGTGATAGCATCAGGTTTTTTTTCCCTTTGTAATATACAGCAGTGCTTGTTTTTCGGAGTGGCGTTAATCTTCCTTTTGTTTTAAGACTTGGCTCTGACACTTACTCTTTGTTTTCAAATTAAGTAAAATCTAAACTTGAATTTTAAAAAGAAGTCAAGAAAAAGAGTAGTTGAAAATCACATACTTACTACTTGCAGGCCAGAAGAAATTTCTGAAGAAGCCCCTCCTCTCTTTCTCTCTTTGGAGACTGTCTTGGATGAGCGAGTGTTGCTTTGCCACCACATCTGTCCAATTTAAGTCATTAAATACTCAGAAACCTTTAGGAAGTCTGTCCTTTTTTAGCATAGATGATGCAAAACATGACAAATTCTTTCTATTGAATTTCAGATATTTGCCTACGCTGAATCATCCTTGAACACTTTCAGAGTGTTTTAATTGAAACAGGCTATCAGCATTTCCAAATACCTTGTATATATATTTTTTTTTTTAAAAAGAGCCATGTGTATTTCTAATGCTAAAGCACCAGTGTTTCTGTGTGAGGTTTACTGATCCTGAAGAAAGTGTGTGGAGTTTGAGCTCAAGGTCATCAATTTAACAGAAGTACTCATGTTACTGGGGGGGGGGGGCTGATCAGTAACATCTCTATCAAGTCCTCACTTACTGGTGGTGGCTGTTTGGTAGAGTGTCCACACAATCTCGTAGTACCTTGGCCATATATATATATGAAAAACAGTGGAAGACAAAGTTTTGTGTATTAGGGTAAGCAAGGTCATTCACAGAAAACAAGGAGACTTGTTCACAGCTACAGAGCAGCTTCTCACAAACTTTCTTCTAGTTACATGCAGAAGCTAGAAGTGTTTTGTGTTCCTGAGCTAACATGAGCCCTTCCTCATGGGCTAGTTGTCTGTTGAGGCCATGATCTGTATTTTTCTACATAGTAATAAAAATACCCTTTAATAATCAGCTCTGCCAAGATATACTATTGGTTTTGTTTGTTTAATGGAATGATTCAAAGTTTTAAAAAAAAAAAATAAAATTCATGTAATTATCCATTGGATTCTGGTGTTGCCTTAGAAAGAGGAGTAAGTGGGGAGGCTTTCAGACAGGGGAAAGGTGCTGAGGCTGCTTAGCTCTCCTACTGGATCCCTAGCTGATTGGAAAGTGTGGGATTTGCTGCCATCTATGGGACGCTGTGTCCTATTCGGGCACCCTCACTAAAGAGAAGGCATTTTCCATAGGCTAAACTTCAGAAGCTGAAATTGCATTCCTATAAGCCAATGAAGAGATGTGGGACTAAGCAATATGGTACAGGCCCTTGTTGTTCTCACCTTGAGCAGTAAGGACAAATTCTAATGTCAGCCTGACAGGCAGTCTGTAAGAATAAGGCCACTGTCTCCAAATTGCTGTGTCTCTCACAGTTTCTCCTGGCCCATCTTCAGTACTGTAAAGACAGGAGAATTCTCAGTCTCCTTGTAGTGGGACTTTATATCCTTATGTTGCCTTCTGCCACTGTTGTACACAACCTAGGCTTGCTTGACACTAGTGAGAATTGGATTGCAAGGCCCAGAGAACATTGCTACAAAAAACAAAAAATGGCAGGAATGTGCTGACAAACTGAGAGCCAGCAGAAGAGTGGTAGTTAGGAAATGACTTTGGATTTCATGCTGTCTGGAAAAAGTGCTGGGAAAAGACTGCTGCAGTGGGCTTGTAGAAATAAAGCAAGCATGTTTTGCTTAAGGTAGTAAAGCTTGCCTGTAACCCTTTGCATCTTGTCTTTGTTCTGGACAGATGACAACACACATCTTGTAAATAATGAATCTCAGACTTCAGCTGTGACTGTTCTTCCTCCCCTTGACAACCCAACTTTTGAGGCGGATGAAACACAAGTTTCTGAAGTTAGGTCCTAAGAATGTGCCCAGCAACATGGTATAAGCCTTCTGCAAGGAGCTGCCTACTGCCATCGCATGTACACCACAATTTGAAGAACCCAGTGGATGACTGTAGCAGCATCAGTACCTTGGAAATGCTAAGATTAAACATGTTTAATTCATGATTATATGGTTTTCAGTTCTTAAAACTACATCTCCCATGTGGAAATTAGCTTTAGCACTCTTCAGGTAAAGCTTTCAAATATAATGAAAACCGTCAGATTATAACACTAAAACAGAAGTTCCATCTTCAGCAAAGCTTCTCTTCAGCAATTGAGTTGCTTAAATAAGGAGAAGTTTCCTTATGTAGTAGCTGTCTCTACTGGGAATTATTTTGACTTTTGTTGTTTGTTTTTAATTCAAGTGGGTTCTCATTGTAAAGAAATAGATTTTTATCTGGTCTAATCCTTATTTACCACAGTTGTTCAGTTTAAAGCAGCACTATATTTAATATTTCAGTGCCCTGATTTGATAGGAGAAAGTACAAAGTGTAATGCCTGTCAAACTGGATTTTGCCCACAGTGTCTTTTGGTTATTTGGTGAACAGATCTAATCCATCGATTTACTTCTCAACTCCACATTCCTAAAGGGAAAAAGAGGGCTTCAGGCTGACAGGCCAAATTTGACTTGCACAATTCTGTAAAGGGAACAAATGCAGGAACTTTTCAGACTTCTTGATACCAGACAGTCTGAAAGATCCTACATGATTTTTGGAATTACAACTGTCTCTAGCACCAGCAGTATGCAAGAGTTCTGGCTTTGTGGAAGACTTAGAGGTGGAAAGATGGATCCTTCTCAAAGGATCTGCTGTGACTTGTTCAGACAATACCTGGGGAAGAACCAAATCTCTGGAAAATGCTGGACTGTTCTGGACTGTTGCTGTGCAGTGTCTTGCCTGTGTGCTAAAGCTGCAGGGCCAGCTAATGTCATGTAACGTGATTGGAGAAATATTCAGCCGTCTGTGAGGAGTTTAATGGGTGGGGGGCTGAAGAGGAGCATTGGGTGCCTCAATATTAAGTCTAGGGCCTTGCCCGCTAAGGGTAAGTAAGGACATCTTACAGATGCACTTTATTTTTTTATCTCTGTAGCTATGGTTTGTTTCTAATGTTAGCAGAGCTTTGTCTTAAAGCCCGCAATAAGGTACAATTGAATCTGCAGGGGAAAAGCAATGCATTTTCTTATCTATAGTGTAATTTAAAATGTTGTAAATATTTTGTGATTTGTATTGAATTTGAATATGAAAATGTAAATAAAACTATATTCTGATGACCTCCTTATGACTGACATGAAATGTTGCTTACTAGCTCTTGTGTGGAAGCAGATGCATTTCTTGGGTTTGCCCTGTCCCACAGCTCTGAAACTCATTTAGTGTTGGTGAGGCCAAGCAGCTCTTTCTTGAACCAGTATGAGTAAGGAGTGCTAATTATGTGCAGGCTGCTTCCGTTGTGTGGGCTCAAATGTTACCGAAAGGCCAGAGCCTGGTAGCTGTACTCTGTATACAGGAAAAACAAGTGCTATAGGGCAGGCTGCTAAGGCTGAATAGCCAACTTGGCATGCTGGGAGGGCAGGGGGAAAGCAGATGGTGTGATGTTTTGAATTAGTCTCTTTTTTTTTTTTAAGAGGCTCCCTACATGTGCCACAACTGCCTGATGTGCTACTGACCTGCTCCTTTGTGCACAGATCAGTACAAGGCAGTCTTACCTGAACTCCTCGCTTGTGTTTCACTTTCTGCTGGTTGATCAGCAATTCTGCCCTTAGTTAATGCTCTTTGTCTTGCAAGGCATTTTAGAAACTGTTAAATGCCTGTCATTGTTTAATATGATGTTAGAGGATTTGACAACTTTTTAACTGTACCTAATTTGGCAGTAGGTACAGCCTTGTATTGCTGATTGACTATGTGGAAATACAGAAATGCTACCCGATTGAGTTGGCCACAACTCTTTTGCAGACCTCCAAATCAAGTCCAGGAAGCATTGGTTGGTTATAGGCTCAAAATGCAAATCTGAATATAATCTGATTTCTTGCTGAAGCTTTATCTTGCTTGTAGCTTTCTATTCTGCATCTGAAGCAGGGAAGGGAGCAGCCAAGAGGTAAGTACACTCCTCCAAACACTTTAATTTCATGTCTAGAAGCTTTATACGTTTGTGGTGTGTAAGCTGTAACATAGTAGAATTTTGTGATAATAGTTTTGTGAAATCATCTGTCAGACTTTTTGTTTAATGGGAACAAAAGTTGATCTCCCTCAGAAAAATAAAAATCAGACCAACTCAATGCATTGAAAGTTGCTTTGGCATTTTTTGTTATGTTGATAGGATTCAAGCCTTTCTATTTACTGTCTTCTAAGCAATACAACTGCATTTTTTTCTAGTCTTGGTGTTTCTAATGCTATATCAAAGGGTAAGGTGGGTGCAGAGCATTTTCTCAATGCACTAGTGGAGTACTGAAGAGTGAATACAGTTCAGTCAGCTCAATGATGCTGAGATAGAATGAGATGCAGTAAATGTTTTCTGTAAAAAAATAAATAAATAAATAAATAAAAGTGAACTAACTCAGTGCTCAAAGAACCTATGCTAATTTTTAGAAACATTTTTAAAATTGTTGTACCAAATGTAAAGTACTGTTCAGGGAATAAATGCAGTGCTTGTATCAGGACAATATTTAAGTTGCTAGGGAAAAGAATGTAATGTTTTTCTGGTAGAAAAGTCTGTGTACATTGTTTGTAAGTACTGGCAATGAAAGCATGTGAGTTACACACACAAGCTCAGGGATGTTGCTGTTTCCTTCTGAGAAAACTTCTCATTTTGCTGAATTCTGCAGAGGTTTTTCCCTTTGTAATATTGCTACAGTCACTTCTTCTTTAAAGATTTTCCAAAGCTACTCTTTAACTTAGTATTTTAAAGTTTCCATGCATTGCAATTTTTTTTAACTGACCCTGCCTTTGAAGTACTGCGCAACTGATCTTTTCTGATGCTGCAGTTCTGTGTATGTATACATATAGATGTGTGTCTTATGACACAGTAGACTCTTTCCTTAAAGCAAAATGCAAATAACGTGCCTGGGGATAGGATTGTTCCTGAAGGGCAATGTAAGTTTGTTGTTATTGTGAATAGCTTTGGTTTTCACTGTACATACCAATGCTTCCATGTAAGATGCTGGAAATTATGTGGCCACAAGAGGTAATGGTTGTTAAAGCAAATGCGTCTTTTTGACTCCATTACTGTTTTCATTGAGACCTATAGACATCTCAGTTGTTCTGCCCCAAAGAGGAAGCAGAAACAGATTCAGGTATCACCTCCTGTGTTTGCTTACTGCTGTCATTTATTTCTCCCCTCATTTTGTCCATCTCAATCTCTAGACAGAAAGATCTGTAGCTGTCAAGGGGCCTAACAATTGGACAGCATAAATCTCTACTCATATGTTGGGTGCGTGATTTAATGGATTTTATTCAGTGTTTAACAAGAGGTCTGCACTAGTCTATTTTCACCCAGGTTTAGATGGATGTTTTCCCTGTGCAGATTTAAATAGTGTTCAACTCCCCCAGGGGCATAATGGCTGACATTTTGGAGTAGATGAAATCTACTGGCTTTGACAATTTAATTTTAGCTCTAAGGGAAACTTGAAACCAAATTGTGATGTTCACCCACTGTGAATTAACAGCTATGTAATTCTCCGCACTGGTTGTTAAACTGTTGGTTATACAAAGTGAAGCCAAACTGTTTATACAGCTATTTATCTATTTATATACACTTGGCTGTGGTTACTTGAAAATCATTTACCATTTCCAGGAGGTCATTAGTGCACTGAAAGAAAAATTCTGCGGCACTAAATGGATCCCTCTTGCTGTGGAATGCATTGATTAGACTGTAGGATGATTGTGCGCTGATTAAGAAAGAATTTCAGTATCTATAAATAAATTCCTCTGCACTCTGCATCTTAATAGTATTTGGCTGTTAGGAACCAGTGCCTGAAGGAATCGGAAGAAAGGAAGGCATTCAGGACCTTGTAACAACAGAAGAGAAGACAAAGATGTTTTTGTTGTTACTTTTTTTATAATCCAAATAACAAAGTTTGAATCTTACATTAGAGAACAACTTATGTCCTAACATGTCCAGCCTGTGCGAGATGCCAAAAGCCAAGATCTGGGTGGGAAATGCTAAGGGCATCTCTCCCTGCAATTAGCATCAGCATTAGAGTGCCTGTATTAGATCCTAAGTAAGTGTTTCATATCCAAGGGCTTGGCTAATTGGAGAAAATTAAATGCTAAACACTCCCTTTGGGAGTGCTCTTAGAAGAGCAGCATCTGTGCAGGAATTGCTGTCAGCTCTGGTCAATCTCCAGGAGCTGCCACAGCAACAGTTTGTCCACAGGAGCTCACTGATATCTGTTATTTCAGGTGGATGAGTTGTAGAGACTGCCACATGGAGAATCTGTTGATGCATTGTAGTTGTTTGTCTTGTCTCATTAATGTTTTGTCTGTGTCAGTTACCATGTTTGCTAATCATTTCTTTTTCTGCTCTAGTAAATGTAAAGTACCAGAAATTTGTTGCTTCCTACTTTGTAATGAAAACAGGTAAAATGAATAGCAGCTTGATTTCAATCTGTATTTGGTTTGAAAGGTAAAACTTTCAATAGCAGAGCTTCTCTTGCTATGATATAATGAGTGACTGGAACCTTATACCAGTGCAGTTCATCCAGTTTTCAGAACTTCTCATGAAATAAACTGGTGCTGCTGGGTAAAGGCTTCCATATGTGGCTGAAAGTGGATAGGCATTGCCAAATACCTTTCGGTGAGGGCCTGGCAACATTTCATGTTGTCTGTACTCACAGATAGATTAATGGCTGGTGGAAACAGGAAGTGGGTTGCCTTGGGGAATACTGGAAAGAGTGGATAAAGTGAAGAAGTGCTAAGTTTGAAGTCTATCACTAGTGCAAGATGTGCACAATTTCTTTATAAAAATAGCTTAAAAAAGAGGCTGAGTTTAAATGCATACTGATAAGATACACAATCAATAAAGCTTTATTTTGGGAAAATTTTAGGAAGGTCAGTGATGCTAGAAAGTGTGCTAACAGAACAGAAAACTGTCGAAGTTTCTGGGAAATGGGCAAGTCCTACTTTGTTCCAAGT